TCCTTAGCACAGGATCTGACACATAAGTGCTTAATAAATGTTTATTAACTGAATGGCTGACAAATGGAAGTTGATGCAGATGGAATCAAAGTTGGTTTTTGTTGTCATTTATTTTGGTTTCATTTGTTTAAGCTTTTGTGGTAGTTGAGTGATAGCATCTTCTTTGCATTTCTTAGCTGATAATGAACTATCTAGAACCTTGGAACTCAGGGTTCAAGTGAAAACTATTTAAGGTTCAAAGCCTCCTTGTTGGGACCTTGGCTCTTAATGACCCATCCAGGTTCTCTAGCTGCTTCTAAGAAAACTGAGCCTGGAGAGGAAAGGGTAGAATTTCCCATTTTACCCAATTGGAAGAGGGATAAAGTTATTTTAAAAGGTTGGGTTTGTGAGTTTTTTTTTGTAAGTTTCACTCTAACTTATCAGGAATATTAGAAAATTATTTAACCAGTAGGACTTTAACTCATTGGTCCTAGAATTTGAAATGGGACATAACTCAGTTTAATAAGGCCCTCTGCTGACCATCTCTATAATGACATCTTATAAAGATAATATTCAGATTTCCAAGAAACTTTATTCTAAGTACATATAATAAATAGTAAGCTATCTTGCATTTTTGATTATATAAATCAGGGAGGAAAGAACTAGTGAATAGAAAATGAGATGAGGGAAGGAAAATAAGCAGACATCACAGAATGACATTTTTATCTATTCACAAAGCCTCATTATATTATCACTTGCTTTTCTCTGATGACACTATACTAGGATACCAACAGTACATTGAAATAATGGTGAATTGCATTTATTTTTACTTAAAAATGACCTAAACATTGATGGAACCACACAAAAACAAATTATGAATGTTATTTACTAGCTTGCTATATGTCCACGATGGTAATTAACTAGAGTTAAAGAAAAATTGTACATAGACATCCAAATTGCAACTGTTGTCATAATATTTAATAATTAACTCTTCCTGCCTATGTTGTCTGATGACTGACAAAGAAATGGAGTACATGGTTAACTGCAGAGTTGAAAATGTGGAGAAGAATGAATTATTAAAAATCAATTAAGCCTACTGAAGGAAAATTGTTTGAGGTATATCTTTTGGGCTAGATTGTGTTAGACTCTTCATTTCCAGAATCAGGTTAAGCCAATTCTGTATCATTGCATAGAAAGCCTATCAGAGCTCAAGAGTAGCACTTTGTGCACTGGGCTAGCATTTCAGGATTAACAGCTCTGCTTTCAACTCCTAGTGTTTATCTGCCCTTTTTATTATCCAAGCTGCCATTCACAAGATCCAAATCATTTTCAGCACATGCAAACAAAATTGGTTTGGGATTTCCCTCTTGAACCTAGCCCACTGGGCTCACCCAAGCCATCTAAATTTTACTCAAAGAAATCATTATTAACAAAAAAAAAGTTACTTTCTAGTATGAGAGACTTGTTTTCTTGCCCTGAAAATATAGATTAATTTATGTAACAACTAGGAAGGATCTCATGTAATTGAGGCTTCCAAAGCCTACATGATACACTTCATTAGACAAGTATGTATTGGGGCATTGTAAATGCTATGGGTAATGTTCTACATATCCTGGAGATTTATTATTTCATCTGTAAAGAAAGTACATTTGGGAATCCCAAATTCCACAGGCATCAACCCTGTAGATTTAGGGAACCAGAGAAAAATAGGGCTATGAGGTCCCTCACATTCCACTGGTTGAATGCCTTGCCACAAACAAACTTAAACAGACCCTTTCCCAATGAACTCTTTAGCCTGCTCTTTATATCTAGGAACAGAAAAGTTCTAGCCCTTTCACTTGGAAGGCTATTCTGGAGGTTAACCAAACAACCAACCAATGTTTCCAATTGTTTTCACCTAAATCCTCTGAATCCCTGAATTATAATCTTCTTCCACTCTGAGCTCTGTTTACAAATGCCTAGGCCTGCAATGCAAGTGGACTTATTTGTTCATGTTTATCCATAAACTTCAGCTAATGTACATAAAAAAGTTTTTTTTAAAGTATCAAAGGAGAGAGCTTTACTATTCTTTACTATTAAGAGAGAGGTGGGAGGGGTGAAGAGTAAATGGACTGGACTTTAGGTATTACTGAAGGATTTAAGAATCTGGATCACTGGCTCAGTGCCAGCCCCTGGAAATTTCAGCTTAGAGGTGACTCTTAGAGGTGATCCAAAGTCAAATGATTTTGTTATCACGGAACTGAAATTACACAAGGTCTGAAATCTGGCAATATCAGAGAATCATAGAACATTAGGAATGAAAGAGACTTTAGCATGCATCTAGTCCAACACCCACACCTTATCCTCATTTTACAGATGAGAAAACTGAGGGCAAGGGAAGTTAAGTGACTTTGCCAGGTTCAAATAACTGATAGATCTAGGGCCACAATTCAGTTCTCCTTATTTTGATTGAGATTTTTTTTTCTACTTCATTGACATTCTTCTCATGCATAAAATATCCTGTTTTCCAAACACTAAAAATTTGTAGTTTTATGCATATATCTAGGATTCAGCACTTGGGAAGATGCGTAAGTTCAATCAACTGGCAATCAATGAGCATTTATTAAGTTCCTGTTATTGTCCAAGCACAGTGGAAGGCTTCTACCCTCTAGGAGCATACACTCTATTGAGGAAGACATATATATGTATATATATACACAAGTACATGTGTATACCCACATACAAAATATATAAGAGCTCATAGAGTGGGGTGAGAGGACAAAAAATGTAGCTTCTGCTGATAGGCAACTGATGGAAAAAGGAAAGTGGGGGAAAACTTTCCTTTACATAAACTTTTATGTAAAGAAAGGAAAGGGGGTAGGTGGCATGGGACTAGAAATTAGTCATTGAGTTTTGCTACTACAGAAGATCAGTTTATAACAATATAAACTATGTGGTTCAAAACTAGAGTGTGATAATACATCAGAGCCTCACTAAAATACCTTCCTCTGGGGCCATGCCATGGCACTACCTGATAGGTGAGACCACCAAGTAACAAACTCCTTTTGATACTTCAGTAACTAAGATCCCTTGGATGGGGCCCAAAACAAAGCTATCTTATACCCACTGGAATTCTGCTCAATAACAAAGAGTGCTATACTGAGGGGCACTGGTATGAAAGTTTTGCATTTAGGATGCCTGTTATTTGAGTACCTAAAACCACTCACTTGCTCATTTTGTACCCTATCAGATTTGAAGGTAATAACAGAGGTATCCCACTGCTTAGATGAAAACACAGAGAAGGACAAAAGCTACACGGCAGTGACCCCATAGAAGGGTCAAGAATAAAACTTTCTCATTAGAGAGACTGAAGAGTGCAGTGGAAAGAATGCTGGGTTTGGACTTAAAGAACTTGAGTTTGAATCCCAGCCCGTACCCTGATTACCCAAGTGACCTTAGGAAAGGACCCACTTAAACTCCCTGGGAATTCCCTCATCCGTGAAATGAAAGGGTTCCACTAAATGATGTCTAAGGTCTCTTTCCACTTCAAATCTATAATCCCATGATTCCCTATGTGATATAACTGATAGATGATTTTTTCTTTTAATACAAAGGAGGCAATATTAAGTTACAGGCAGGTCCCATACACTTACCCACCGTGCTTTTTTTTTTTGAATTACAAATATAAAAAGAACTTAACTGCCAGCCAAAAGAAGGGGAGTCTAGATAAGCCCTGGTCCCTCACTCTGCTCATCACTAAAATCAGAGAAGAGACAATCTCAGAGCTCCTTTCCAGCCCTCACATTCTATGAGTCTGTAATAGAGAACATAGCACGTGAGTGCTTGAACTTTTGTGCTAACTTGACTTAGCAGCTGGTTTCAGGAGCAAGCTTATGTCTTAAGGAATGAATCATGGAGAGAGCATGCTGAAGGTAACAGGCATAACTACTTCTTGCCAGTCTACACAATAAGGCTGGCAGACCTTGATCATTTTAGTAAGTGATGATTTGCTACTGTCTACAAATGATAGGACTGTGGGGGACAAGGGACAAACACTGTAGCCTAGTGAAAGAAGGAGGACACTCTTGCATTTCCATTTAACAGAACTGACAGAACTTCAGTCCAAACAAATTACAAGAGAACACCCTTGTCAAAGAGCTGTGGTGTTCATTCAACAATAAACACTCCTTAGCTGGCTGACACACACCTTGCCACTCTCTGTGGATCCAGTCACCTTGGGTGGGAGCTGGGGGTATGTGGAGAAAATGAAGGCATATTAAAGAGAAAGAAAGATCTTAGCCCATGTGCATTTTGCATTCCCACTTTCAAACTGTGTAACTTTTCAGAGGCACAATAACAGCTAACTAATCCAAAGGATGAAGAGGAACATTTGAAATTATACTAGAAGCCCAGGGAAGAAGGGGGAGGGAGGGGAGGAAAGCAACAATTCAGTTCTTACAGGAATGGTTTCCATTTCAAGATATTATTTATATCCTACCAGAAATTCCCTGAGTTCATGAGGGTGAAAAACAACATCAGCAACAACCAATATAGATCACTGGATGGTACATCATAGCAAAACTCCCTCATGAAGGGACTCTTTCCAAAACAGAGCAACTCACTCACAAGGACCCAGGCTGAAAGGTTATGTTTTCCCAGTAGTAAAACTAAAAGATCATCTTCCCATTTTCTCTGGTTATACATTAGAGGTCAATCAACAATATTTTGGAGTGGGTTTCCCTCCTCCCCTCCAAGCCACCTTCCTGATAGCTGGCATGGGAAACGTAGCTATCTGCCCTCCTATTAGCATGTGTTCTCCGTTGTGCCAGTTATAAGAGACAATGAGTCTTCCACACCTAAATCCTGTTCAACTTTAATGCTGTAATTACTCAGAACTGCATACTTGCTGTGGCAGCCAGGGAAAGCCTGGAGAAATTTGCTAACCTTACCGTAACACTTTAAAAGGAAAATAAGATAAACTGTTAGAACAGGGGTTAGGGTTCGGGTGGGGGGGGTGGTTCAAGAGAGAGAAAAATCCTTACTTGTAGTTAGTTCTGCAGTCAACACATGTCACAGTCCTGGAGATATTAAAACTGCAAGGGCTCTCACCAGCTTAAAAATTCTCCGGAGTTTATCCTCTGTTTATTTGTGAAACTTTAAGAGGCTGTGGTTATAGCAGAGCAGAATGAGTTCCCCAGAACATCCAAAGCACCCACCAAGTTCTCCAGAATGTGCAGAGCAAGTTTGCTGAGTTAGTTCCTTCTGCTGTTCTGTAGTTGTTCCGTACTTGTAAATACAAGCTCTGTGGACAAAGTCCCAAATGACATCACTGGCAGCTGCATATTGTTGAGTCTTTATTAACTGACTGTCAAAAAGAAAGAGGAGAGAGAGAGAGAGAGAGAGAGAGAGAGGAGAACAACCCATGTATATCTTTCCTGCAGCAAAACCGGCAACATGGTGTGGATTCCAGTTATACATATGTAAATAATTCTATTGATTCCATCTATCGGGGAGCTGCTTTTCTTAGGTCAGACCCGTTTTCATGAGAAAGAAAAGGATAATTGCCTCCTCCAATTTACAAGCCATAAGCCCAGGACTGAGAAGGAAAAGTTTGAAAGACTAAGCAACAAATTGACAACTTATTTGCCTACATATTTCTGACATTTTATTTCTTAAAAAAAAATTTGTACATGTACAAGTTTATGAATTTCTTTTTATTTGCTTAGATACACCCCACATACTTCATGTGGATGAATGGGAATTTATGATCCATCTACGTCTTCTAGAATTCAGAGTTTGCTAATTGATGAGCAGATTCATTTTCATACAATTTTGATTGAGAAGGGACTTGGAGATCACAAGATTGTAAGCCTAAAGGGACCTTAGACATCATCTAGTCTGATTCCTTCATTTTACAAATGAGGACAACGAGATCCAGAAAGGTTAAGCAATTTAACCAAGGTTAAGCAAAGTATACATTGCAGAAACAAGATCAGAATCTAGCTTCAAAGTGCTTTGCATATAGTAGGTGCTTAATAATAAATCTTTTTGGAATTGTATGAAAGTTCATCTAACTCCCTCATCTTCCTGGTGAGGAAACATATCCAGAGAGGGAAAGCAACTTGTTTGCAGTTACACAGCTAATAAGCAGCAGAGTCAGAATTTGAACTCTAGTCTTTGGATTTTAAATCCAGAACTCTGTCCTCTACAACACATTTTTTTTAAGAATGTTGTATCCATTCCTTCTCTTTTTTATCGCATATTCACTTGCTGATAGCCACCTATCCACCCCCAATGGAACTGTTCCTTGTGACAAAGAAAAACAATTTAAGCTAAAACAACTGACACAGTCCTGAGTGACATAGCATTCTGAACCATTTCCCCATTGAAGGGGTATAATCACTGCATCAATTTAACAACTCTCCTTGTCATATGACTGCTCATATAACATTTCCTTCGAGGTAACTATCACTGACTGGTTCCTACTTCCAGTTGGCTGAAACTCCCTAGCACAACAATTATCTACAAGGCATCATAAAGTTTTTATTTGTTTTTGTTCTTTGTTTTTAAACCCAAACATTTAATTCGTTTTAATGAAGAGGAAAAAATCATCAAATATATTAATAATTCCAATCTAAATAAATCCAAAAATTTCAATTAATAATTCCAGACAGCCTGTCTATATCGTGTCCTCCAAACAAGTTAAACACATTTCTGCTTCCATACTTTTATTCACAGTAGCCTCCTCCTGAAATGCCTTTTTCTATTCCTTTCTCTCCATCAAAATCCCAACTGACCTATAAGGTTTTTGCCAATCCTTTTCTACCAAGAAGCCTTTCTTGATTTCCTATCCCACAATGATTGTCCTCCACCTTAGAGAACTTATTGATTCTATAATAATTATTTCACTTATCATATAATGCTTTGTAGCATTCTCTCTCTCTCTGTCTCTCTCTCTCTCTTTCTCTCTCTCTCTCCTAGTTTATTAGAAGCTATATCCTGTATCTCTCCTATATTTGCAGAAATCATAACTTTAGAACTGCAAACATAGAAATCATCTATTTCAACCTCCCCTTTTCTCAGGAAACTGAGGTCAATGGAAGCAAAGTGATTTGTCCAAGGTCATACAGGTAGCAAGAAATATAGCCAAGAATGGAAACAATGTCCCCCAACTCCAAAGTAAGCACTTTTCCCAATGCACTATACTCCCATAGCCTTTAGCACAGTGCCTTTCACATAGTAGGTATTTGTGGATCGTTTCATTAGAGACTGATTCAATAAAAACTTTGAGTTTATTACAAAGTTTTCACTAGACAACTGATAAGATCTGATAAGATAAGAGACTAAGATCTTAAAGACAACTTGCAAATGAATGGTTATTCATCTATAGAGTGAGAGTTAAAATAGATGGCTCTAAAGGTTCCTTCTAATTCCATAAAATCTATGATTTTATACTTACAGGAATAGGAATTAGACGTGTGATTTTATTTGGGTCAGGAACTTCTGGGTGAAAAAACTCAAGTAAGGAAGGTTGGCCTCTTTGCTGCAACTTGAAGTCTTAGAGAGTGACTTGGGGCACTGAGAGGTTAAGTAGTTTATCCAGTGTCTTACAACCATTATGTTTCAGAAGCGGTTCTTGAACTCAGGTGTACCTGGCTTCCAGTCCAGCTATTTAGCCACTATGCCTTACTGCTTCTTGTAATCTGAAAATGCTATATCCTGGTTACACTTTTTGGGGTTCTTTTCAGGACAAAAAAAATCACCAGCTCATTTTTGAATGCCTTCTAAATGTAGGTCCACCCCTTATAGCCCAAATCCTACCCTCTTTTATGCTAATTAAGAGATCATTTGAGAAATCTTTTAGATTCTACTTCCTCCCAATCTTAAAGGTTGATTAAGTTGATATAAGAAAATAAAGGAATTCATATCTGGAACTGCTTCTGGACAAGCAGAGATTTAAGATGAGATTGGCCCACAATGCTTTAGTCCACTTCACTGAAAGTTAACAAATAGTGGAGCAGATATCAGAAACTTATTATTAAACACATTTGATTTGTCATCAGGCATTAAGGGAAACATCACAGAGAAGATAGCGAGGGAGCCAAACCTCCTGTACTCTGACGATGAATTTTCATTCAAGGGGAACTTGGGTCAGTTGAAAGTCAGTGACTGAGAGTCAGTGAAGTATTGCCTTGGTATACCTCCTCCACTCTTGAGAAGGCTTTCTGTAGTGGGAATCACAGGCATAACCACAGGTGTGATCTTATGTTTCTTCAAGGAAAATGGATACCACCAAGGGCCACAGAGGAAAAATGGAACGTTTCAGCCAAGGAAAGGTGATTTTTTTTAAGAGAAATTTTCATTCATCTAGAGAAAACATCATAACAAATCTTGCTTCACAGTGAAAACAAATCTTGTGTCTATTAACAGTTTTAACAAAAGGAAGGTAGAGCCCATGCATGAAATAATCACTTGCATGCTTTAAAAAAAATAGTTTACCTATCACAGGAATCTGTCTCTCCTGCATTCTGCATTCATATTCATGGCCCTTTATGTATGATAAAGATTGGACTTCTCAAAGTGAAAGTTAAATACTCATACTTCAAGATAATGGGTGTCCTCAACATTCAAAATCTGGTGTGAAAAGTAGGGAAGGAAGAATAGTTAGGGGGAGCACCTTTACCTTATTTGAGGTGATCATTAAACCTCTTGCCGAATTATCTTCACTGCTATGATCCCTAAGTCCCACCCTTTCCCTTTTCTTTTCCGATTTCCTTCATTTCCTTCATTCTCATAGCTTTTCAGAGCATTGTCTAAAGGCTTTCCAGACCAGAGAGCATGCATGGTCTACTGGTCTGAAGCTCAGGATCATAAAGCAAGAAACTGGTGCATCCATTGGCCCATGTTCTCTCATTTTCATGCCCTTCTTTCTGGGTAAATACTATGTAACATGGGACATTCTGAAAAGATAATCGCTGAGGTCCCTTTCAGCTCCCACCATCTCTCATTCTGCAATTCTGACATGGGCTGTGACTTGATCTGTACAGTTATCCCTCCCACATTGCTACTTTCCCCATAGCAGTTTCAATGTATTGAGGGTGGGTCAGCATAAGAAATTAAATGGGAATTTGGGGGGAGTTTTGCAGAAGCTGCAGATGACACACAAAGGCCAGTAGATGACACAGAAGAAGTTTAGAAACTCAGAAATGATAAAATACATGGATAGTATTGTATAATATCAACATATTTTATCTTTTAATACCATAATAATTCAGACCTCCTCTGGTATGAAGGGAGAATCAAAAAATTTTATGCGGATTTTCCATATGCCACACCCCTAACTCCAGCGATTGTGGAAGGGGTAACAGTCAAGGATTTGCTGAGGAGGTGCTGAATAAAACACCTGACCAGGATGATCATTATGTCAGTGGGGAAAATAATCTCCAATTGCTGGAGGCCAGTCCTAAGGCATGAATTCCTGCTAGATCTCTTCACACTTCTATGTGTTAATTTATTTATTGTTCCTCCCCCTAAATTTGGTATTTTATAGGGAGAAGCTCTATGGGACTCCAAGGATTATAAATGCTGAAATGCAGACTATAGACCTTTAAAGTGAATTGAATAGCAGCAAAAAGTAATTAAAACCATGTGGCTGTCATGAAAATATTCTCTTCTGATTCAAGTGTACAAATAGTATAGCATATCAACAGGTATCCAACAAGGATTTAAGCTTCAACACTTTCCTCCTACCCCTAAATGTGACTTGTTACTACAGCCTCCTCTCTTTCTGGTGTCCTGCCAAGTTTGATCACAAGGGTCTCTGCCTTTGGTTTCACAGCTATGGGGCAATGAAAATGGGAATCAAATCCATGGGATTGAGTCTGGAAGCATCTGTATGGATGAAGTGTAGGGATACTTTCCCATGTCTTGGGATGAAGACCAGACCCATTAGGAACAGGTAAAAGGACTGGAAGTCAAAAATTCCATATGGTGAAAAGAGAATATTGGATTTGGAGTTAGGGTTAGAATTCTAAGTCTGTTACTTATTACCTATGTGATCTTGGGTAAGTCTGTTGGGGGTTGAACTAGAAACCATTAGAACCAATGGACTTTGAAATACATTTTAACTCTAAATCTATGATCCTCGGAGGCAGTGTGATTTAGATGGAGTGACAGATTACTGTGTGATCATGGGCAAATTATTTAAACTCTTACGTCTCACTCTTCATCTATAAAGTAAGAATGGAGAGCTAGTCTGTG